GGAAGAAACAAATTACTGCCAGTGGGAAAACCGCAGTGCCATGTGTCGTCTTCAGGTATATTTGAATTCCTAATGCCATTATAAACAGCAGTGATCCATCATGGCATGTCACAAAATCAGATTCTGGATGGATGAAAAGTCATGTTTTCTTTGAATATGAATCCACTCACTTGCTTTCTTGGTTACAGTCGCAAAACATCAAGTTTCCCGTTATTTTTTTTGTTGACGGCTATAAGTCGCATTTAACCATGGAACTTAGCCAATTCTGTGAGACTGGTATTATATTGTATAGCTTGCCCTCCAATACTACGCATATGATGCAGCCAGCCGATGTGGCTTTTTTTAAAACCTCTATAAAGTGAATGGAAAAAAGTAAAGTAAATAATGAGTTGGAGGAAGATCCAATCACAAACGAAGAAATTGATATTGCGAGAAAAGTATTGTTAATTAAGTTTGAAGATAGATTGGAGGAAAATTTTAGCATTGATGATTTGGTGCATGAACTCGCAGGTTTTAAAACTTTTCCAGGTGTTCGAGAAGAGGTACAGAAAAATCCTATAACAAATAATGATCTACCTGCGAAAGAGCTTGACAGAGACAATGAAGATCCTGTAAACCGAGCTGTAAACGAATCTGAAAACGAGCTTGACGGAGATAAGTAATGAAGATCCTGTTTACAAATCTGAAAATTCAGAAGACCCCAATGAATGGGTATCTATTGAAGATATACCAATTATATTTAATGATGATGAGGGTATATCCGAATTTATGAGTGATGGGGTTCATGTAAATGCTGATGAAAATAACGTAGGTACACGAACTTCTGACACCTACAAATGAAACTATCGACAAAAATATTGAAATAAATTCAATAACATTATCAAATAACACATCAACTGCCTCTGAGGATATTGTAGTTTCAATTATTACTGATCCAATAGAAAGTCTGGTTAACTCTAAGAACAACTTGGAAAATTCAACAACTGTAGAAAAGCCAGAAATCAGTTCTGAAATTATTACTGGAACAAATATCACAAATTTGAAGAAACTAAAGCAAATGGCAGATACAGCTATACATGAGGTGAATAAACAAGAGGCTCTCATTTCTACAGGTGACAAAAAACTCTGTTTGCGAGAAAAAAGCTTTAATGCTGATAATAATGACGGTATTGAAAGCATTCAGTTTTCCCACACATAATAGGTGTGGGAAAGAGAAAAAACGTGAATCCTCACCTAGCAGCTATCTCTTCCCCAAAATACCGAGCATATTTAGTAAATAGAAGTAAAAAGACAACCCCCCCCAGACGCAGGAGATGAAGAGCACGTTGAGTGTGACAAATGTCCTAAATGGTACCATCTAAAATGTACCGGGGTACGGGATAGTATCTCTATATCTGATTCAAAACAAGAATACTTTAAATGTACAATTCATGCTAGTTTAATTTGAATTCATTGTATAGCAAATATTTTTATGTTTTGTCTTTTTGATAAAATAGGTGAATGTCCTAAATATTTTGGATAAAAGATTTAATAAATTCGAATATCGAATAGCTCTTTTTTGTAATTTAAAGATACGCTCGAATTGAGCACGTACGTCAGAATGGAAGGGCGTATCGAAGATGTGATTCAAAAAGGGTAGAGTAAGTAGACTTCTAGAAGTTGACAAGTTAAGTTCCTTGGAAACTGATCTTATTGTAAAACAAGCGGAACTTCATTTTTTGGAGGAATAATCAATTTGCGAGCTCCATTTCAGGAAGTTGTCTATAATAAGACCCAAAAACTTCACAGAATCAATGACGTCAATAGTAGTGGTGTTATTATGTACAATAGGTTGCCACGTACTAATATTCTCTATTCTCTATTTCCATTATCGTACCCCAGCCCATCCCTAGTCCCAGTATTCCTTTGTTAACCTATATATTTATCCCAAACCTTTCCTTTCCTGACCTTCTCGTTGGTTCTTGCTGAACGGTAAATTATATTTCCTATTTTATATGTATATGCTTTCCAAATAATGAAGCTCATGCACATGCACTCGTTGGCATATCCATCGCACAATTTATTTATCCATTTTACGTCAAAATTTGGGGCATATTTCGGAAAATATGATCTATTGTCGAAGAAGAGTTCTTTAGTTTATCAGAGATAGTCTTAAAGAAATTGAGAGTCCACCTTTTAGGTTAATTACTCAGCATGCGAATACGGAAAATATATAACTACTTATGATATGTTTCTTTTTTTCAGTATTTATGGTTTTTATTGAATTTCAGATAAATTCTTCAGGGCGTGGACACTCCAAAAAGAAAAAAAATCGCCTTTGGTTACCGTGATTCATTATTTTTAGCCTCCTCACTTGAAATATTCACGAGCCGCCACTGAACGTAGTTTTATATGACAGAACTTTAGTTTTCGCAGCGTTGAAGCAGAGAAGGTTAGAGTCGCACCATGATTTGATGGCAAACAAATCATTGGACATGGTTCGGTTCCATGAATAGCTTCAATATCCGGGTTGCTCCATGTGAAACTAGTATCATCAGCAAGGAGACAGATTTTACCGCTGATGTCTAGATCAGCAATGTCGTTGATAAACATCAAAAATAGTATTGAACCCAACAAGGAACCCTGTGGAACTCCACATTCTATTAACTTGCATGAAAACATTGTCGTATCAACCCACACAAGCTGTTTTCTATTGTTAAGATACGACTTGAACCATTCCAGAGGGGGGCCTCGGATTCCATGATACTGCAATTTGGTAATTAGGATATTATAACTCACACAGTTGAATGCTTTAGAAAAATCATAGAAAATTGATACTGTGGAGTGTAAATTGTTCAAGCTAGAGAAGACATTATTGAAGACAGAAAACATAGTATCAATAGTGCATTTGTTGGTTAAAAATCTAAATTGGTGAATAGTTAGTAAGTTATATCTATGCAGAAATGATAGAAGCTTTTCTTAACCAATCTTTCGATAACTTTGGATAAAGTGGGAAGAAGTGCAATTGAACGATAGTTTGACGCTTGGTCGTTATCATCTCCTTTGTGCAGAGGAAAGAGGAATAAATTAGCCGTCTTGAGGCAATCTGGGAACACTCCTTGCTGAAATGATTGATTAAAGCAGTGAGGAGATTTATTGTACATTCCGGTAAATTGAAGAACATTTTTGAAGTAAGTCCATCAGTCTCAGATGACAATTTGTTTTCGATGTCTTTAATTGTACTGCAAAGCTCTGGTGTTTCTACAGAAGAAACTGTGTAAATTCATATTAGTACTAGGAACATATGGAAGTGGATCGCGAGAAGGAGTAAGTAGTCATCAAATTTTTTGTCACATTTACAAAATAATCGTTTAGGTTCTCGGGGAGGTTGTATTGGACGAGGAAGCCATATTTCTCAAGTCGTTGACAATTGATATAGACCACGTTTCTTTGGCCATATTTTCGGTTCTAGCGAACTGGTTGTTATAATAGGAGTCTTTGGCGGCTTTTATAGTTTTATGATGAACTTTTCTATAGAGTTTAATGCAATTTTGAAAGTAGAGATTGTCCGAAATTTTTTTTTAGGTGTGACAATGAGCGCATGTTTTTTGCCGTTGTCCGGAAGCTTTCAGTTATCCAGGGTTTATGTTGTTTATTTTTGATAGGCCTGAGGGAAAATGCTTTGAATGACAGACCAGATAATTTATTTTAAAATGTTGAAAATGCATACCAGTCAATTGTTTGATATAAGCTCTTGAAATTTAGGAAATTTTTTTCCGAATAAATTCGGCGAAATTTGCGTGGGGCATTCCTGGTATTGGTCGTTAGAGAAAAGTTTGTGAGTAGTGCTTCTTGATCTAAAAGCTCTGAACTAAAGACAGTACAGTCAATGAAGGTTGGATCAAACGATGACACGACGTAGTCGATAGTGCTGGATCTGGTTTTTTAATTATTCGGGTTGGATATTGAACATGCATGAATGTACCAAAAGATTCAAGTATGACTGAAGAGATTCTTGAGCAGCACACACACTGGAAAAATCAATGTTAAAGTCGCCACATAAAATTAATCTACTACTAAAAGGGAGGGACTCAAGCAAGCTTAGTGAGTTTAAAGAAATGTAACCAAGTCAGCGTCGGGTGTTCTGTAGATGCAAACAATGTATAGGTCGTAGATATTGTTGTTGATTATAGAAAATTCAATAATTTTTCAGATAATAAATTGTCGAATTTGGTTACTATCGAGAAGTTGTTATTAGTGGACATTATTACAGTACCTCTAGGAGATAATATATACTTCTAGTACTTAGATACTGTAGGTAGTTTTTGATAAACACAGGCTCGTCAATATTGAGCCAATGTTCAGTTATGGAAATAATTTCTGTAAAATTTAGATGTTCTAATAATAAATATAGTTTATCGGTTTTGTGTCTAATGGACTGAATATTGATGTCATTTAGAATATGAATATTTTAAGGGAGTGTTTCAAGATATCGAGACAGATAAAGTAGGTATAAAATGAGAAAATTTTTATTCCTAGCAATTTTGAGGAAAACTTGTAAGGCAATTTTTGTGATATTCTGAAGACTCGTTCGAAGACCACCCCAAGATATTAATAATATATGAAATTTTTATAATAATTTGAAATGAAACTTTATGGCAAATTAATAAACGTTATAAAGACACGAGGGCAATTTTTGAAATTAATTAAAAAAATAATGAAATAAGACCCAACATATTTCTATAGTAATTTTCAACTAGATATTTCGTAAGAATGAGGCATTAACTATTAACCGATAGGTATACCATATATTTATATTGTAGGTAGGTATCACTGGTATCAATCAAGAATAGAATAATCAATGATGGGATCCGAAACTTTGAAAAAGTACTCAATTAATAAAGTACACTTTGTATTATTATTAATTAAAATATATGTAGGTATGTTCAAAATCTCTAAAAAAATTGATTCGAATGAAAGAGGCTTTTGGGGGTGGTAATAAAAATTATCAATAAACTTACAGCATATTCTAGAATTATCCTTAATAATAAAAATTAATCAAAAACATATATGTAGTTCACAAAAAAAAAAATTACGATTACTGGAGATGTAACATCAACGGATTATTGGAGCTTTATTAAAAGCTCCAATAAACGATAAACTATGTAAAGAGCGCGAAACTTGAGCAAAATCCGCGTATTATCGTTTCAACAAACCGAATACGACTGTTGGCTCGGCTCTCTGACATTATTTGCTAGTATCCGAGACCATTGCACGTCCAGGGCGACTACTGCTAAGACCAAGCAAAATTCTTTATGCGCTAGGCCGCCCCTTCATGAATCGCGACGTTAGTTTCAATCATCAGGGCTAGCCGCTATTGTGTTTATCCTTTTGAGCGTCTCGACGCCGACGCCAGTATAACTCTTTGCTTCTTTTACATAGAAATAATGGTTCGCGTCCTACGCAATGACAAACCAGGACGCGGTTTTTTTTTTTTTTGCAGGACTTCGGTTGTCATGCACGCTCTATGGACGAATAATTGTGGGTGGATGGGTCATTGTTTTTATTGAATTTGGAAAACTGGACGACTGGATTATTTTATTGACTGTTGGACCATTCTGTGAATTGAGGTGTATTTGGTAAAGTTATGCAAATAATTTTTGAATTGAAATGTACCTAAGTACCTATACTATACTTAGTTTGCTAGTCTAAGCAAAAACAAGAATTGAGAAAAGGAATTTGAACAAAAAGTTAAAGGCGAACTGTGGTGTGGGTGATAAATGTAGGTAGTCATTTTTAATGAATAGTGAAAAGGGAAATTATAAATGTTTTGCAATTGCTTCTAGGGTAGTTTCTAGGCTTTCTAGGTGAGTTGGTCATCTGCAAAGCTTAGAGTAAGTAGGTAGGTATATAGAGCTTAGTGCACACCAAAGAAGTTTTCTCGCGGGGCGAATGGTTCGAACTACGGTTTAAACCAATTTGTAGATGACGTCATTACTTACGAACGCGAGAAAATGGAAGGTTTGAACCACAGTCTCATGACGACGGAGAACAAGCCATGAGTCCGGTTCGAACTTTTTTGAACCAGGTTCAATGGGATCTCACTGGTTCAACGGAAGAATGTTCGAACCTAATCGAACCGGATCGAACCAGTTCCACCGCGAGAAAACAGCTCAAAAAACACATAGGAACATTTTGTTAAGAAACACAAAATGTTTACCAATGTTTCTATATTTCCTTTGTTATTTGTCACTTAATATGGAAACAAGCAACTTATAGGAACTTTGGTTGCTGCAACCGTAAACAATAAGCAACTTGAATAAACTTTTAGAAACATACAGAAACAAGTTCCAGGAACAAGCAACATAAACACAATGTTCCTATATGTTGCTTTCAGTGTGGACGTAGCTTTAGGTTTTGAGATAGGCAACATCCCTGTTCAATTAAAAAAAAAATTGATTTAATTTTAGTACAGATCGATGCATTGCACCGCGTAATGAGAGCAGCAAAGGCTCATGGACTCTGGCTTTTTGAGGTCCATTCGCAGTGAACTGTATAAATAAATGTTGAAGCAGATCAGTGTTGCCATCAACTGAGCATCAACTATTATAGTATAGAACGCTACAAAATTATAGTATATTTGTCCAAATTATAGTATCCTGCTGGAGACAGATGACCACCAATAGGCTCGTTCAGCATATTTTTTTTATTACATATTCTAAAAGAGCGTATTGAGTTTAGCAGTTGTGCAAAATTTCATAATTTTCCGAGCCCTTGTTCATATTTAAATAAATTATCAAAAAGCTCCAAGTTTGGAAATTTCGAAACACGCGGTGACGTCACTGCATCTCTCAAGTTGGTCGTGTGACGGCCTTTAGCCCGTCTTGACTCGAGAGATGACGTCATACCATCTCTAAGCGATGAATTTCTGAGGCATAATGTTTTATTATTCAAAGCCGTCAAAAAAAGAAGAAAATCGAGGCGTATCATAGTAAAATTTCAAATTTTTTTAGTGGAAAATACCCCATTGGAAATTAATGAAAATTAACTAAATTAGGCATAAATGCACCATCCAACATTTTATTTTTCTTCTGGAAAACTATTCAGGGGAAAATTATGACATTTTCTGGAAAAAAAGAGGAAAGTCAGAGACGTATCATAGTAAAATTTCAAATCTTTCCATTGGAAAATAATCCCATTGGAAATTAATGAAAATCAACTGAATTAGACATAAATACACCATCGAACATTTTATTTTTTTTTGGAAAAATGTCCAGGAGAAAATTATGACATTTTCTGTAAAAAAAGAAAAAAATCAGGGGCGTATCATAGTGAAATTTAAAATTTTTCTAGTGAAAAATAACTCCATTGGAAATTAATGAAAATTAACTAAATTAGGCATAAACGCACTATCTAACATTTTATTTTTTTTGTGGAAAACTATCCAGGGGAAAATTATGAAATTTTCTGGAAAAAAAGAGAAAAGTCAGGAGCGCATCACACAAAAATTTCAAATTTTTGCCGCGAAACAAAATTGAAAATAATTTTAAAAATTAACTAGGGGTGCGTTCGATAACATCCTTTTTGGTATAAAAAAAGGACCCGCTCAGGAAAATCAATGAAATTGACAATTGACAGTGTAAACCCAGTCACCAAAAAAACACTAGTGCCTGTATGCACATTTTGCACAAATTCTCTTATTAAGACTTTAGCCGCGATTACATAAGATTTCTCTTAAGCTTACTTTTCATGCATCCGTTTTTCCGTCAATCTGATGATCCGGAAGTATTCCTAGCGGATGCTTGAAAAGTATGCTTAAGTGAAATATGATCTAATCACGGTTAAAGTCTTAATCAGAGAATTTGTGCATTGGTACATACGGGCATAAACTAACACTTTTGACAGTTGACATTTAAAATGTGAACTGTCAAAAAATACATGCTCTATCAATACTAAATCGACAGAGGTCAAAAAAAAAGAAAAAAGGTGACTAGACATAAGGGCTTGCACGCCAACACATTAGGAAACCAATAGGAAACTAATAGGATTAGGACTTGTTCCTAATAGAAAGAAGGATTAGGCAATAAATTAGGATTAAAAAGTGAATAGATTAAGTGCTTGCAGCCAACAAATTAGGATTTAACACTTTGACTGCCATGTGTATAATAAGGTATACACAGTGGCCTGGACCAGATCTCCACGTGTATATTCTAGTATACACATGCAATCATCAATTCTGTGCCGTGTGTGTAGTAAAGTAGCACGCTTTACATGCATTTCTTATGGAATATTTTTCAGCGTGGCGTGGGGAGATCACAAAATAATTTTAGCGCCGACTTTGGATGAAAATTTCGTATGATCTCATAGCATCACTAATATACATCACAATACACTTGCATGACTTGCACAACAGCAATGAACCACATTCAAATTGACAATGACCACTATTCATAAGCTCACAGTGTGGCTACAGAGAAGAATAATCCTGTCTAAACCGTGCATGTCGCTGTCTAGACCGTGTATATCATCGGATACACGTGGCGTATTATAGATTTTTTTCACTTTTACGCCACGTGTATATTTTTTATACACTTGCCCTAAAGCCCTTATTACAAAAAAACTAACATATAGTATATATTAGAGAGCGTTAGAAAGGTATTTCAAATGGTTTTCTATAAAAAAGCACATGTGGCCCAAGCGACCCTTTCATAGAATTTGACGTGGCAGTCAAAGTGTTAAAATAGACTGAGGAGAACTAGAATAAGGACTTAGGATAAGGGCTTGCACGCCAACAAAATAGGGTTAGGAAAATTAGAATAAGGGCTTGCATGCCAACCGAAAAAACTAAATAATTTAATAATGCAAAATTTGATCTTGATAGTACATAGTACATAACCATTCAATTATAGTACAAATACTATAATTATAGTACCGTTGGCAACACTGAAGCAGATTCTACCAAATGTCTCTTTATTTCCTTAATTTATCATTTTTTCAACTTTACTTTTATATGGCTCCTTTATTTTTCGATTTTTTTACTATGTACAGATCGTTTCACTAGGGTTCATACTTTTAACAACGAATACGCCATAAATTGAAAAAAAAGGGTTGTCATTGATTAATTCATATGACACATTCAATTTTTTTGACAAATTAAAATGAATGACTTCTGGTTTAAGAACCGACGAACGTTTTTGACGTCATTGATTTGTCTTAGGGCGAATTCTCATGAGCGTAAGTTGACATTTCTGGCGTAATCACGTGATAAAATGGTTGGATTTTATTGGTAAAATATTCGCCATGTTGGATATTTTACCAATCAAATTACACCATATTATCACGTGATTACGCCTTAGTCAAGTGTTATGATTTATATGATTTATTTACGACTAATGTATAATGTGAGTATTATTCTTGTGATTTTGTCAGTATAATGACATATGTTATTCCCCCAGGGAATAATGACGAGTAGCGGGATTAATGGTCATTATTCCTCAAGAGTGTCAGTGTCAAACGTGTAGTGTTTGTGGATTTGTATTGAGAATTGAGATGCCTGAAATTGGTTCATAAAAATCTCAAATAAATTAATTTGTCGTAAATGAAGTAGAGTATACTACTCGCAATAATGGCTATTATTTCCTCGGAATGTTACTCCCTCGCCGCTAACGCGGCTCAGTTCGTAAATATTCCTCGGGAATAATAGCTATCATTATTGAATCGTGGTATAATTTACTATTATCAGCGTTAGAGATATTTATTTAATTGTTATGTCATTATCATTGTTCATTTAGTAATTAGTTTATATTCATGTGCACTACACTATATCTTTCTCTCTCAGTGTCAAGGGCTGATTTCACTGGAAGATGAGTTCACTGAGAACGTATAATTTATTATTCAAAGCTCCCAAGGAGGCTTTGCTTTGTATTGTTATTCTTTTATTTTACGTAACTATTATAGTTACCAAAATTGATAGATTAAAAACCCTACAAAAACTTCTCTCGTGACATTTTTTTTTGGAAATCGACGTAACAAATCAGAAGTAGGATAACCAACCTGTTAAAATGAGTGATAATAATACCAAATCTCCCCACGGAGATGACCAAAATTCTGACGAAAATTATAAAAAACGGGAAAGTCGTGAAAACGTGAAACAAAAAAGAGAAAGAGTGCGAAAAAGATCCTCGCGCTCGTCTAGTTCCACTAGCAGTAGTGACAGTGAATCCCGAGGTGAATCCTACGTGTCCCGAAAATCCAAAAAGAAAAAGATTGAAGATTTTAGCCGCTTTCCAGCTGTGTGCTTCAAGTACGGTGCAGCACAGTGTTCTGTGTTTGAAACACAAAAGTTAGCAGCTCTCGAAGCGCAGTACGGCTCATGGAACAAGCTCGATTGCGTGCTCAAAATGGTCAGCTGGAAAGCGGCTATAATTGCCAAAAAAGTGCAAGCTATTATCGGACAAATGCAAATTCCTGTCAATAACACTTCATCAACTGAAATAGTGCCGCATCGATTGGGAAAATATTTCTCAATGCGAGTTGGTACCGAATTTTGATCCGGAAGCTGGCGATATAAACGCCATTACGTGGCTGAATAAAATTTATAGTTGGATTGATCTTAAAAAATCTTACTTAACACAAAAGTATTAAGCAAAA